AAGGGGGAGGGTGGAATATTTTGGTAATCCAAGCTGACAAGCAACTGGTCGTTAAATTCGCCCATCTCTCTCTTTTATCATTCAAAATTCTCTTTACTGCTTCCGCGGAAAATAACCACAAATAGTGTAAGTTTAAATTTCAAACTTGCACCAATATTTAAAAAAAAAAATTAGCAAATAATGATTTTAAAAATTTTTTAACTTCTAATTTCATAATATGCTTTTAATTGAATAATAAACATATCAAAATTAGTTTTCTTAACAACAGGTGCTAAATTAAAATATGTATTTGAGCACAGTTAAAATTACTTCACTGGTTAATCATATATCATTCCTATCACAAACTACAAAGCGCACAACTGCTTAATATTTTACAACTTTCATTAGTTCTTTACAGATTTATGATTATTAGTAAGCGTTTGCGCGAACTGATATTATAATCGTAATAAAAATATCCTTGAAAAGAGCGAATGCAATAACTTTTAAATTGAACAAAAATTCCAAATTCAACAATTCAACTCTTTTAAATGATTTCCAACTTTGACTTTTTTATTGTTGTTGTTGTAAAAGGAAAGTTGGCAATGAAAAAATTTTCCCGAAGCATTGAATGAAATGGAAAAGAGAAAGTTTCAATCTTTCATTGTAATCGAAAATAAAGAAAAAGCTGTTGCTAAATTTCGAAGAGACGAATAATGTGACCAATTGAAATCACAAAATTCAAAAGAGATGCTCAGAATTGGGCGGCATTTTATTTGTACAAAAGAGCAACACTGTTGTGGTAAGGGAAAGAGGAAGTGATGGATTTTTTTTTCAGGTTAGAACGCAGCGGGTAACGTAGTAAATAAAGATGACCACACATATAACTTTTTTCACAATATGTTTAGAAAGGGTCAATTCAAGTCTTAATTTTCGAAATTTGAAATTAGAACAAATATATTTTCAAAGCATAAAATTAGCCAAAATTTATTTTAGAAAATATTTCAACATTTTCAACATTTTCAAATTGTTTTAATTTATAGTTATGAAAAACAAAAAAAAAATTACCTTTAACAATCTTAGTTAAAAGTTTTCTAAATTTCAGTAGAAAACGAAATTTTAGTTTCTAAATGAAAAGAACAATTTCCGTATTTTATGGATAAAAGAGATCAGTTTCTCATTACTTTATTCACATCCTTCTAAGGATTACATCAATTGCTGAAATTAGTTTTAAAATAAGCTTTTTAACTTTTAACAACAAAAAAAAATTCCATTAATATAAATAATAGTTAATGTATTGTCATCGAAATAATTTAATTGAAAGAGAATTTGAAAATTTAGAATTTGCATATCATTCAATAAGAAGGAGCCGCCAAAGATGTTTTATTAAAGATGTGAAAATAATGCGTTAAGTTCGTCTTCCATCCAATTGTCCATTCCGTTCATACCTTTTAATCTGAAGAATGAAAAGAAGGCCGTTAATTGAATGGCTAAATAATAACCAAAACGGATTATCATGAAAGATGTTTACCTGTATGGGCTAAAACAAACCCTTTACGTTACTGCAAACTTAAAATCAATTTAAAAATGCGAACTCAAACCTAACTTTGAATACATTTTTGACAGCTAAGAACAATAATATTGTTAGTTGATGTGTTATTATTATTATTACTCACACAAATTTCATAATTCCCTGATCTTAAAAGTTTGAATTGAACAATAATTACTTTTCCACCAATTTTATTACTTTTGTTTCATTCTGTAATTGTAACATTCTTCTTGATCGTTTTCAAATTGAAAGAATGGATGAAGAAAAGTGAAAATACGCATTTTATATAAGTTTATATTTTGGATATTTTCGAATAATTTTCATGAAATAAACGAAAGAGAATTGAATGAATGAATGAATGAACTCTTGCCAACATTTAATTGTTATTAAGAAAAAATTAGATTAAAAATCGAAATGTTTATGGATTGCTATGCTAAGACTAATATGTACTCTCAAGAGTACAATGAAAATTTTATTAATAATGTAAATTCTATCAAAATGTTGTGACAACAGTGATGTTATCAATTGATATGAGCCATAATCACAATCATAATGCTCTGTATAATATCATAATTATAATGATAATGATCAAATATTATTTCGTTGTCGATTCTTCAAAGTTAGTAAAGTTCATTATGAATGTGTTAAATGAATGCCACTCCTTATCAATGCCTTCAATCGATTGTTATCAGTTATTATATTAACCGAAGAATTATTTCTTGGCTATTTAAATATCGGCCTAGGTTGAAAGTGATCCTACTGTAACAACAATTGAAAGGATTATGGATTTCAAAGATAAGGGTTCAAAGATAGCTTAATCTGTTCGCTTTTAATGAATTAATTTAAGATGTTTATATTTCATTTTTGAATAACAGCGACCACATTATTGTACATATAATCACTTCGAACAAAGATATGAGTATCATTATCATTATTAATCATCATGATTGTAGCCTATGGTATCAATATTCAGTGTTGCTCATATCGTTATTATTAATTGCGGTTATTATTTGTAATATAAAATTTTGAATTTTCAAGATGGAACAACAAGACATTATAAATAATTGAAATTTTGAAAGATGCCCAAAAGCAATCTTTTTTGACACGACTAATCTGAATTGGATTTTTATTTATTTCCAACAATTCGTTCATTCACCTTTTTTTCCTTCTTAATTCCTGAATTTTCAAAAGTAATTGAAAAGAATTTACAATATACTACTAAAATTTAAAAATGCAATAGTAGAGGATACTTGAAATGACAAACAATGACCAGTTGAGTAGTGTTGCTGATGGGGCGACTGATTAAATCTATGAAAGTGACATGTACCTATCATTGAGGGGCGCAATAAACAATACAAGTGAGGCGGTAGTGTACGATGATGAGATAAATGGATGTTAGGCACCATTTCTGTCAACGGACTGACTCACTAAAAGTTGCAAATGAGATCGGATGAGTCTCGAACTGCGTAGGAAAGAATAAAGGATGAAAGAAATTTATTAATTTTCTCCTACGAAAGACTAAGCTTAAATCGATTTAAAGAGTGGGTGTAAATTGATCTAAATAAATGGCCTAAACCTGAAGTCTATACCGATATGAATAACTTATATGAGATGCCTCGGCGAAATCTAACAAAAATTATCTCATTAATTGGAAATCTGATTTTTTGCTAACTTTGAAAATTTTATTAAATTTATGTCAGTAACTAATTTTTGTAAAAATTATAATCCATACACAGTACTTCAAAATCACCTGAAAATTAATCTTTTAATTAAAAAGAGAGAAATTTGTTTT